ATTGGCTTTCTTTATGACATGTGACCTTCTATTGGTATATGGGTGCGAAAAGAATGCGGTTGAGTGTAACGGCCGTGGCGATGAAATGTATGACCTGAGGAGAACGGTGGCGACATGAGAAGAGTATTAATCGCGGTGGAGAACTGCTGCCAAAGCTGGACCGCAAAAGGCTTCTCTTTTGAGTTGGCCTTTAAACTAGAGTGGAGAAGGAGGCGCCTTTGTCTGCAGTCGGGCAATGAGCCACTAGCGGGGAATACAAATTTTTGGGTGGACCTTAAAGAAGATTGCAAGAGGAAAGTTCTGAGCTGCTTTTTTGTTATTGAAACTACCAAATTCTTTTCCAAGCATCGTAAAACGGTACAGTATGAAAGCCCTCTTCAAATTTTTTCATTACATTGAGGTAGTCAAACATTTACAGTATGCTGTAGCGAAGCTTCAAGTCTGAACAATAGGCGCAACTCTTAAACAACTCTGGATGACGTACTTTCTAGTAGTTTGTCTTCATCCAACTTTTTTTCATGCTATTTTTAAAAGGTGAGATTCCAAACCTTGTGGATGGTTGATAAAACTCTATTTTCATGACTTGAAAGGCTGGAAATCGTTTTGTCTAGAAAAGATTTTTATTGTTCTCTTTTTTTCTACATGAAATGTCAGTTGAATCTCTTAATGTCCCATAAAAATGCAATATTAGCACATCTTATGAACTATTTAAGTCGCGTTCCCATGTTCTGACAAGCAATTGCAGTTTTCAATCTTAAAATTAGATGCGGAAAAAATACGCTTGCCAACGTAGGAACCATTTCTTAAAATTACATTGCGAAGAAAGTTGCAGCTGTCAAGTCTATTTAGAATGTATTGCATATGACATCAAGGATCAATTAATTATGATTTTCAGATAACCACCGATTATGGAAATGTAGAGGGACTTTGTGCAAAATTGAAAACTGATCCTATAAATGGTCTACCCGATGACCATCACGAATTGTCGCGACGACAGCATGTTTTCGGAAAAAATGAAATCCCCCCTGCACCTTCAAAATCGTTTTTTCGATTAGCATGGGAAGCAGTTCAGGTAAGTAAATCTCAGCAAGTAAGGATGAATGATCTTACAACAATTTTATGCTTTTTAGGACATTACACTAATTATTTTACTCGTATCTGCACTGGTATCACTTGGATTGTCATTTTATAAACCACCTGAAGGAGCTGGAGGT